CGGGGCCGCCCACTGCGGCTCAGGAACAGGATCAGACGAGGCCGCCCACTGCGGCTCAGGAACAGGATCTGCCGGGGTCGCCCACTGCGGCTCAGGAACAGGATCGGCCGGGGCCGCCCACTGCGGCTCAGGAACAGGATCGGCCGGGGCCGCCCACTGCGGCTCAGGAACAGGATCGGCCGGGGCCGCCCACTGCGGCTCTGGAACAGGATCGGCCGAGGCCGCCCACTGCGGCTCAGGAACAGGATCAGACAAGGCCGCCCACTGCGGCTCAGGAACAGGATCAGACAAGGCCGGGGCCGCCCACTGCGGCTCAGGAACAGGATCAGACGAGGCCGCCCACTGCGGCTCAGGAACAGGTTCAGACGGGGCCGCCCACTGCGGCACAGGAACCACCATGGAGGGGGCCTTGAAGGCTTGGGGCGCCCGCTGAGGTGCCTTGGAGGCCTGGAGCGCCCGCTTAGGAGCCTTGGAGCCCCCGTCGAGGGGCTCTTGGAGCTGATGGCGGTGGCAGGAACAAAAAAAAAATCTTCTCTCTCCCCATAAAAAAAGCTCCAAAGGTCAGATTCCTGTATATGGGGAGGGCTGAGGAGTTCACATGCCTGGTTCTCTGCTGGGTCCATGTTTTGGCTGGATCCTTCTGTCAAGAATCACTGTTTGTGTGGAGGACCCAGACGCAGAGACCAGTAGGCAGAGGTGAATTAAGACTGTTTATTCAGGTTCACAGGTCCAGAAGCAGGAATCAGAGGCCAACTGAAAATTACAAACGAACCTGAACCAAGGAGACATCAGGGATTAAACAAACCAGAAGCCAGGGAGAGACGAGGAACACAGAAAGAAGTTTAGACGGGATGTTTGACGAGGATCCAGCAAACAGGAACTGAACAGGGAGGGCTTTTAAAGGAGACAGAGACAGAGAGAGAGCTGACGAGGAAATTGGCAGCAGGTGCTTGGCAGGACAGAGAAACAGAGGAAGGGAGGACACAAGAGGGCAGCAGAGGACAACAAATGGATAACAGGAACAATCAGACCAGGACCATGACACTTCCAGCCCATACTCATGGCAAATGTTCCCGTACACTATGACAGCTACCTGGTTGTGGCGTTCCATGTATGCACTTCCTGCCTGCATTTTAGAGCAGAAAACTTGGTACTGATATATATATATATATATATATATATATATATATATATATATATATATATATATATATATATATATATATATATATATATATATATATATATATATACTTACCGGCCACTTTATTAGGTACCCCATGCTAGTAACAGGTTGGACCCCCTTTCGCCTTCAGAACTGCCTCAATTCTTCGTGGCATAGATTCAACAAGGTGCTGGAAGCATTGCTCAGGGAGTTTGGTCCATATTGACATGATGGCATCACACAGTTGCCGCAGATTTGTCGGCTGCACATCCATGATGCGAATCTCCCGTTTCACCACATCCCAAAGATGCTCTATTGGATTGAGATCTGGTGACTGTGGAGGCCATTTGAGTACAGTGAACTCATTGTCATGTTCAAGAAACCAGTCTGAGATGATTCCAGCTTTATGACATGGCGCATTATCCTGCCATCAGAAGTTGGGTACATTGTGGTCATAAAGGGATGGACATGGTCAGCAAAAATACTCAGGTACCCAACTCAGGCCCAAAGAGTGCCAAGAAAATATTCCCCACACCATGACACCACCACCACCAGCCTGAACCGTTGATACAAGGCATGATGGATCCATGCTTTCATGTTGTAGACGCCAAATTCTGACCCTACCATCTGAATGTCGCAGCAGAAATCGAGACTCATCAGACCAGGCAATGTTTTTTCAATCTTCTATTGTCCAATTTCGATGAACTTGTGCAAATTGTAGCCTCAGTTTCCTGTTCTTAGCTGAGAGGAGTGGCACCCGGTGTGGTCTTCTGCTGCTGTAGCCCATCTGCCTCAAAGTTCGACGTACTGTGCGTTCAGAGATGCTCTTCTGCCCACCTTGGTTGTAACGGGTGGTTATTTGAGTCACTGTTGCCCTTCTATCAGCTTGAACCAGTCTGGCCATTCTCCTCTGACCTCTGGCATCAACAAGGCATTTCCACCCACAGAACTGCCGCTCACTGGATGTTTTTTCTTTTTCGGACCATTCTCTGTAAACCCTAGAGATGGTTGTGCGTGAAAATCCCAGTAGATCAGCAGTTTCTGAAATACTCAGACCAGCCATTCTGGCACCCACAATCATGCCATGTTCAAAGTCACTCAAATCACCTTTCTTCCCCCTACTGATGCTCGGTTTGAACTGCAGGAGATTGTATTGACCATGTCTACATGCCTAAATGCACTGAGTTGAGGCCATGTGATTGGCTGCTTAGAAATTAAGTGTTAACGAGCAGTTGGACAGGTGTACCTAATAAAGTGGTACACCTGTACACCTATATATATATATATATATACACATCCAACTACACAATATAATAAAGAATAAAAAATAAGAATATGGGGAGCTACTGTTTCCACGGGTCTACTTTAATCCTTTAGAGTAGGACACTACAGGTATGAGCCTATCACCATGAGGCTGCAAACACAGAGGTCATATAACTTGCTTTACCGTCAACTGTTTGGATGAACGGTTTCTGATAATTTTTTAGAGCTAAGACAGTTGCTGAGAAAAGTTCTACTTTTAGCTTTGTGAATTACTGTTCTACTTCTGTGATCCATTAAATGTCTCTGACATAGCTTCTAGTGTGTCATAACAAAAACTAAAGAAAAGCTGAGTTCTTTTTATCATAATGTGGAATCTAAGCTCTGCAGTAAATGCACAATTCTAAAAAGACATTCTTGTAGCTTTTTACCTTCTTCTGAAATAACATGGCCCAAACAACAGACTTATTTCTGCACCCGCTAAAATTTTTATAACTAGTTTTATACTTTCCTTTGCTTCACATTATAGCAGATATTGTTTTATCCTTGGCCTGTATTGTGATTTAGGAACTATTTTAACTGAATCTATAGTTGTCAACAGTCCTACATCAATTCTTCCTGTAGACCACGAAGCATTTGGAATATCTTTTAAATCCTTTTCATCAGATTGTGATAGCAAAGAATGCTGAGTTATTTTAACACATGCTAAATCTCTGTTTTACATTGAACAGAATTTTATAAGGCTGTTTCCATAGTTGGAAAAATAGACATGGAGCAGAAATGTTAGGCATGTTGCATAAAACACAGAAGGATTTAGTTGCAACACTATTACATGTATTATTCATACAGCCTTCATTCCCCCCAGCGTTGACAAAATTGCATTGCCTAATTTTCCATCAAGTCTGACTTTAACAGATTAATGGGGTGAGTTGGTGATACTACAAAAACATGCAACCTTGCAAACTTTTTCCTGTTTGAAGGTCTTCTATTTCTATTGCCCTTGACATCCATTCCTAGGATGTTTGACCATTTGCTGATTTTACAAAAAATAGCCTTTTAGATGGTTTGAGCATTTACATTATGTTTAACACAAGTATTACAGGCTCCTGAATTGCATATAAGTCTAACTGCCTGTCAATTAATTGCTAGAACTAGTCATGTTTGGTTTTTTTAATGCATTGAACATCCCCCATGCTCCATACACATCTACAATTTTAACCCCTCTAATTTTTTTATTCCCTGTATGTAGCTTGCATGACTAAGATAATTTTCTGGTGAGTTATTTATTTTAAATTTTTTTGTTCCAAACCTAATAGTATTGGAGACACTGCAGGCGCATTAGGAAGGCTGTCAGTTGGATCAATGCTGCAGTCATCGCTCCAGTGACATCCCCCCCAGCGCTTGTGTAGATTTAAGCTGTCTCCCTCTAACTGTGTTTCATTATCTTTTGGACGCACAAACAACTTAAAAGACCCACAAACATAACTTTAAAGACAGAAACACATAACATTAAAAACGGACGAACACAACATTAGTTCTATTTATTTAATTTTTAATAATAACATCGTATCTACTTTGCGCATGAATTAAACCAACACTTCGTCATTTGGAGCTCATTTATTTATTTATATATTTATTTATTTATTTATCTATGTATTTATTATTTTATTTTTTTATTTATCTATTTTTGCACTAGTGCTTGTTTCTAGCCGGCTCACAACATTTCTCCATTGATCTACTTCCACACACCATCTATGTCATACTTTTACTTCCACTTCTACAAGTATTTTAAATTATTTGGATCAATCTGACACAAACATTCCATACCCCTTATGATCTTCTCTATACTCTTCCCTGAACCCATCCTTTTTAATACTTTTACCTCCCTGGCTCTCTTTAGTTATTTTATTCTTTAGTTCTTATTATTTTATTATTTTGGAATAGAGGCTTCCCTCAAACCCATATTTTTTTAAACCATATATTCAAGTGTTTATTTTTTGTTGGATCCTGCGCTTCTACAAACTTCTAATCGTAGATTTTAAATTATCTCTAAATTTATTTTAACCTTTACCCATTTTAAAGAATTTAGTCCAGTACAAACACCTAGGGTATTCTACGCACTGGATGTTTATTCAGCAGGACAGTACCCAAAAACTGTTGTGGTAATTTCTGCTTCTACCTTTTCAGGTGAGAAATTCTTGCCTCTGAATCCACAAGAGCTGTACTGTATTAAACCCCTGCTGTCTTAGCATGAAACAACAGAACCTGAAAGGTTCGATTGTTTCCTCACACACTCTCACACAGTCACACCTATTTTAAGGCCTATTATATTTGTTTATTTTAACCAATATAGACACAAAACACCCATCGTTACGTGCACATTTTGGAGTCTCAAACTCCAGGCCCTCACACGCACTGGATACCCAGATGCCACATCTGTCTACAAGACTTTGTCTCGTCAAATATTCTTGCGATTACTGCTGTAACCTAAATGGTCCCACACCAACTTTAGAACAAAAGATTTTGGCCTACCCTTTGCTGTGTAGAGCAGCAGTCCTCAGCGGGAGTCGTCACCATGATGCCCAGGGTAGGGCTGGACCAAACTGGCCCCGTCCGGCCACTGTGATTAGCCTTGCACAAACTAAACTAACTTTCTACCACCGTTGCATGACAGTTTGCAGTAAACAGAGTGAAGCATCTCATTTCTCCAATGTTCCATATGCACACACATTAACTTTATAATCATCATTGAATAAACCTAACAAGGCGCACTGCTGGATTCGTTGCTCTGTTCCAGCTGTCTGAAACTTCCCCAAATTTTTTGAGGTACCACTGCATCATTCATCAACAACAGCTGTGTGGCAGTATTTTAAATCTGAAGCATGTCATGGATGTTGCGATGAAGATCGCTTGCTCTGTTCGGGCCAGGAGTTTTCAGAGGCCTTTTTTCTGTGCCCAGCTCGAGGAGGCAGGTGCAGACCATGCTGATCTGCTCCTGCACACCGACGTCAGGTGCCTGAGCCGTGGCAGATTCCTCAGAAGATTTTGGGAACTTTTACCCGAAATTTAAAGTTTCTAAAACAATCAGCAACCCATTCTGCTGTATGTTACATCTTCACATCCACATAGTTTGTACTTAGTATTTTCCTGTTTTTATCTGTTTTCGTGTTGAATTTTAATCCATTTTCCAGTTTCTCTGCCAATGCCAATGCCCAGTGAAGTTTCACATTCTGAAATAGTGGACTTCCCTTCTCCTTCTTCCTGCTTTGAAGTGATCTTAGACTTAGACAGATTTTATTTGTCATTTTGTTTACACAAGTGTAAAACAAAAAGAAATTTAGTGTGGAACAGCTCTCTGAACAATTTCATCTTTTTTTTAGTGCAGCCTGTAAAAGTAGTAATATATATATATATATATATATATATATATATATATATATATATATATATATATATATATATATATATATATATATATATATATATATATATATATATATAACAGTGATATAAACATATGACTGTAAATTTACAGTTCTAATGGTTTTTTTTCCATCTCTACTGGACTGTGTGTGTGTGTATCAATTGGTTTATTTAGATTCTCTGTCTGCATAGCCTTTGATCTTGTCTTCTCTTTTCTGTAGTTTTGGTGAGTGAGTGAGTGAGTGAGTGAGTGAGTGAGTGAGTGAGTGAGTGAGAGAGAGATATGGTGTGAAGTTCTTATGAATTTGTTAAGTTCTGTTTTTGCAACCTATTTTTTGTACACAATTGATAATTTCCTCGTTTGTTGGACTTACTGTTTATTCTCCACCTGTGCAAATAAAAAACAAATACTGCCCATCCATTGTGTTTGGATTGGTAGATCTCAGCATGCCATCAACTTCAAAAGTAGATCTTGGTTTAAAAAAGGTTGGGCACCCCTGCCCTAAAGCAACCAGAAGAAAAACAGGATCTCAATTATGTGAAGGGAGTAAAGCATTCACATAACTGGTTTAACTTGTATTATCAGGTCACCACATTTGTTCATAGTGACTGTGTGTAAATGACTTACTGCAATTACAGTCAATAACTAGCCTGGTGAATATTTTTATGACAACTTGCGTCACTGCTTGTAGAAATGCCCATCAGTATTCCTTGCTTACACTTCCGTAATGTTGACTAGTTGCAGCTTAGTTTCTGTACATTGTGGTCTTTTTTTAAATCAGACACAAGAACATTTTTAATAAATAAAAATGAGCAAAATTAACCCAGTAGAAAGGGCCACACTTGAAGACAGAGCAAATGACAGTTTGAAAGCGGTGAGTTTTTTTTTACTATTTATTACTTATTTTCAACAGCAAGGCTTTTTTAACAAATCTGAACTATCATTTTTTTCTTTTGTTTTCTCCCTATATCATTGTCTGCCCAATCCCCAGAATGCTGTAACCATCGCTGTATCCTCTCGCACCCTCTTCAACATGAAGAAGGAGGGGGAGGTCTATGATAAAGGTCTGGAGGGCTACGTTAAATTTCAGATGGAACATGAAAACGAGCCTTTGAAACCTGGACCTGCATTTCCCTTTGTTAAGGTAGGCCTGATCTGTGGGAGTGGTTAGCAGTTTTAACTGCAGGCATTTGCCCTTTAAATGCATTCCACTTGTAGCTTACTCTTGATAGTGGCAAAAAGTTATCATTGTGCTGCTGGAAAAACAAAAGTAGATTCAATAAATACAGTTTAGTTTCTTGGGGCATATTTAAGGGGATGTCAGGTCTGGGCTGGTTACAGTGTTTGGTGCCCCATATTCTTTTGTTGACAAAAGGCGGACAGTTCATCACACTGTAACTACAGTTTTGTGTGTGTGAGCGTGTGTGTGTATGTGTCCAAACAAAGTTTCCAGATTATGTTTTTCTTCTTTTTTCTTTCTATAGTTTCCTATAAAGAAAAAATAAACAGTCTCACCCACCCATAAATTGATCCAAGACATTATCATCGCTTTCCCCTTTGTATGAGCTTATATAAGGCAATTAAGGCTGCAACTAACGATCATTTTGCTAATCTCTTAATCTGTCAGTAATTTTATTAATCAATCAATTAATAATCGGATAGCAAAAGGTTCCTTTTGCTATTCCATTCATAAACTAACTCTAACCAATATAGTATTTACTTTTCATTGACTTTCATTGAATGCAAGTGATGCCTTTTTAATCAGGATTCTCCTAAATTTTTAATCATGAGAATCATAAATTAACTCACAACTGAAGTTTAACATATTAAGGTACTAGACAATTGATTTGTTAAATTATTGGATTTTCCTCTTTTAAGGCAGGTGCTTCATTGTAGCTTCTGTCACTTGTTGTGGTTGTGAAGTTATAAAAAAACAAAAAAAACCCTGACCTATTCTGCACATGGAGCATTAGATGAATAATTATTCTTACAATGTGCAAAATATATCTTATTTCTTTGTTGGTACAAACCATCTTTCCTGTTGTTAGATGATTTTCACACGTTACTTAACAGCGGATAATGGAGAAAGCGCAGGTTTTCAACAGTTTCCATCCATCCATCCATCCATCCATCCATCCATCCATCCATCCATCCATCCATCCATCCATCCATCCATCCATCCATCCATCCATCCATCCATCTTATTTATACTGCTTCCTAAAACATTTTGTAATAACTGTTTTACCCGGAATGTCTCAATATCGTTGCTTTGCCTTGACTACAAATGGTGTGATCTGTGTTACAGGCTCTCATGAATGTCAACAGTCGACTGAGGGAGCTTAACCCTGACAGCGAGGAGCTGTTTGACATCATATTGATGACTAGCAGCAATGCTAAAGACGTTCGACGCTTTAGAAACAGCATTAATCACTACGGTACGCTGCGTTCCTTAACCAATAATGTTATTTGTTCAGCTCAGCAACATCTCACCTCCTCCCTACATCAGCAAACAGTCAAGGAGAGAGATCATTAGAACTAGGCCTTTATTCTTCATGCATATCTTATGTTTTTGATTCTGTTCCAGGTTTGACCATAGAGACAATCTGTATGACTGGAGGGGAAAGTCCTATAGGTTACCTGCAGGCCTACATGACAAACCTTTACCTTTCTACGAATGAAAAGAAGGTCATAGATGCCATAGAGGGAGGTAAGAGGAGCTTTTTTTCTTTATATTACAACCTGATCATTAAACATGTTACATACTAGTTTAAAGATATTATCTCTGAGTAGAACAGATTTTAAACTCTGTGAGAAGCTTTTATTGCTGGCTAGGAGGTGTATTTTTAATCCGTGGATAAGCAAATTCCCCCAACTGTAACACAGTGCTACCAAGAAATGTAAAAAGTTTTACCCTTAGAAAAACTTACTTCACAGAAGAAGGGGATAAAGAACATGGTTGGCCTTTCTGTTGTATTTACCTGTGCCGCTCCGGAAATGGTAAATAAGGGGAGTTATGTTTTTGACTGCAAAGTCTCCTCTGGACTGTGATGGACTGGCGACCTGTCCAGGGTGGACCCTGCCTCTCGCCCATAGACAGCTGGAGATAGGCACCAGCACCCCTCGCGCCCCACTTGGGATTAAGCGTGTAAGAAAATGGATGGATGGATGGATGGATGGATGGATGGATGGATGGATGGATGGATGGATGGATGGATGGATGGATGGATGGAAGTCTCTTCTGGATGATTCGAGCTATATTTGCTGCTTCTATTCTCCCGTTCTTCCACTCTTTGCATCTGGCTTGATTTTAATAGACTATCTAACTGTATATGTGTTTATATTTATTCTACTGAATTTATTGCAGTTTTCAACTTTTAAATTTGACTAATTACTTATATCTATTTTTTTATCCTCTTATATCAATGTTATGCATCCCATCTTATGTAATTTCTCCTTTTTATTATTATTTAATTTTATTATTATCTTTGTTTTCACTGTAATGACAAGAGAAGGAAACGCATGTGTACAGGATGATTTGTGAAAACTTGGGGGGTGTCTGTGGGTTTGCATGATGGTTTTGGTCTTCTGTCCTTATAAAATAACAAAAAGACCAAATTTTCTAGAATTTTAAGAGTAGAAAAATTTTTAATACCTTTAACTTGTCTTGTCGCTTCACAAATATCCACGACCTTGTGTTTATTTATCTCATAAACACATAACAAAATACATTTGTGATCATAACCTCCCAAAATGGGGAAATATTAATTAGGTAGGAATGCTTTTGTAATTTTCTGTATTAGTTATTTATAGCAGCTTGACAAGTTCTTCAAACCTTAAGTCAGCATTAGCTCAACAGATAAGGCTGACGATTGCCTGCAGCAGAATGTCAAGAAGCTGATAGCAAGATGCTATTAAAAAAAGAAAAACTGTTTATTACCCCCGTTAGGATTATTTTAATTGGGCATGCCGGTGGAAAGTGGTTAGCCCTCGTTGCGGCCGACATGGGTTCGAATCCGGCCTGTGGTCTTTTGCCGCATGTCTATCCCCCTCTCTCATACCCCCCTTCCTGTCAGCCTACTGTCGGAAAAACGAGCCATTAGTGCGGTATAAACTCAAAAAAGAAAAAGGATTGTTTTTATTGCTAATATCTAAGTCTGTTAAACCATAATACCTGCCTGTTGTGTGTTAAAAATAGTGTCTTCCCAAGCATTGTATCTCATTAGAACAGTTCTTCTATCAGGATCTACAGTTATTATGTTCATTATGTATATAACAGATTTGAAAATGAAATGAAAGTAAAAAGACAGAGTGGATGACTCTTAAAGCTGAAGTCTGTAAGTTTTTAAAAATCATTTTTTTGTCTTATTGGCTAAAAGTGTCCCTATGCCCAGACAGCAGTACATGTGATAGGTAACCTGTGAAAAAAACTGCTTCAATTGGTCCCGCCTACTGCCTGTATTTCAATCTGGAAAGAATAATTCGGGACGAGTCAAAACAACCAATCACAGCCAGAGGAGCGTCTGATGGAGTGTCAATCACAGCTCACACACGCTGAATTCTTGGAGGTGGGGCATGAGTGAAGCAGAGAGGGTGGGGGAGTGGCGTGAAACCTGTTTTTCTTCAAATTTTCAGTCGAAGTCTGCTCTCTTCTCAATGTTACAGACTGCAGCTTTAACAGTGAGCCATCTCTCACGGGGCATTGGAAATAGCCTTGAGAACATAGTGTGATATTTGGATATAGCTGTTGCCATGGATGTCCCCTCATTTACAAACGTTTATGATGTAATGAAATGATCATATAGTGATCATGATGATGATACTGCAGTTTTATAAAATGTTTCTTCAACTGTGATTTGGGCATGACACAGTTGGCAAGCACTGCCATCTGTAACCCTAAGCAAATTCTGGTCTGAGTAAGATTACAGTTTATGTCATCATCTCTTGTCATGTCTCATGGTTATTTAATACATACAAATTATGAAGAGTTTGTCCCAAGTGATCTCTACTCAGGAAAGAATTTGGAATAGAAAGCTTAAAGGTGTAAACAAAAAGCTTCCCTTTGTACCCCATATAGGAATTGCTGCAGGTACCCTGTTTATGCCACAAAAGGAAAGCGATCTGAGTGAGACTGAGCTAAGAGTGGCGTTTGATGGTGACGCCGTCATTTTCTCAGACGAGTCAGAAAAGATCTATAAGCAACAAGGCCTTGACGGTTTCAATGAGCATGAGAAAAACAACGAGGACACACCCTTGGCTCAGGTAAAAAATTCATCTAAATGCTACATTTCTGATGTAGCATTATTAACCCCATGTTTATAATTGTTTACACATAAAATTAAAAAAAACTATATAAGGACTCTTGTTGCAGCCACAGCTTTTAAAGTTTCTTAATTCTCTCTAGCGCTGGCTAAACTCAGAGAGTCATATTCTCTATCTTTATTAGAAGAATTTGGTAACTCTCCTAGCCTGTATGTGGAGTTATATTTCTGCTGTTATAACCACCTGAATGTGCCCATACAGGCTAGACTGGCTAGACTGCACCTCCTAGAGCAGTTATTAAGTAGTCTAGCCAGCTGTACAGTATGTGCAAAAGTTTTCAGAGCTTTCTCCTTCTTGCATTTTGTTCAATTATACGACAACAACAAATTTAGATACAAAAACAAATATTTTTTTATGTGATATCGTTCCATGAGTATTTCATTAAGAAATAGTAGATTTGATGAGAAAAATAGCTTTTAAGGTGAACTCCTCACATACTGCAGTGGAATAGTTTAGACTGATGCATACTCTTATCTTTGAGTGGCCAAGTCAACATGGAGAAGTAAATACAATCAAATGTTTTACAATATTTTTTAACTGCTGCTAATAAACGCTCTCTATCCAAAAGGATGAGATGATTTGCAGCAAAGAAATACCTCTAGTCAGGGGTGGATCTAGAAAAATATTTATGGGGTGGCGAGAGGGGCGCAGGAATTTTTGAGGGGTAGCAACATAGGGCATTTGTTTACACTGAACGTAATCACAGTTATTACAGTTTGGTGAGAATAGTATGTACAGTCAGTGTTTCATGTGAAACAGTTCATATTAGTAATACATTGTTTGATCAATGTGATCTCACTTAATAGGAGATAGAAGAATGATAACACTAGAGAGGCATTATCACACAAAAATTAAGGTAAGACACTGGTGCTGAGTCGCAGATGAGATTGACTGTCAGAGAGGCAGCTTTGCACCATTTGCACAAGAAGAAACTATAGAAAGAAAAAGTTACCCATCAGAGATCTATGGACTGAGCTGTACTAAAGTGAGCATAAATACACAGTAGAAATAAATGGGTCAAGGCACCCAAACAAGGTACCGGACATCTATGTATTGTTTACTCTGAACACACATTTACCCCATTTGTTCCTCAGTAACTTGACATACAGCAGTTAAGGTAACATAAAAGGGACATTTCATGCATGTAAATATGCTGTAGATAGAGCTGCTGTATCAACAAATCAACAAAAGGCAGGTACTGTATGTTACATCAAAATCTCCACAAATCTGAAAAGAAGCAACATAAAAATACATTTTGCTTCCAGTCTGAAAAAGTACAAAACATTTTGTGATTAGGTTCATTCAGGTCGTTTCTGGATAGTTTCATACTATGTATACAAAAGAAAGAAACAACAACACTGCTTCATATTAAGCAGGATTTACATTTACCACATTTTTAACTTTACTTTTAACACTTTTGGTTTTATTAAAGGAAATATCAGATTTTCTCAGGTGCCAAAACAAAATGTAACATCTCTGTAAAGGCTCACCAGAGAGCATAACATAAAGTTGACATGACTATAACAGCCGAATGCAGTTGTTTCAATGTTGCTCAGCAAAACGCCTCACAAATTTATTTAGATCCAATGCCTTTGTGGGTCTGGGTTAGTGTACAACCAAACTTGATAGTCTCTTTTCTGTCATAGTTGACCGCAAATATGTCTTTATGAGCCTGAGACGTCAGGCCTAACTAACATCATAGTTGGAGAAATAACGTTCTGCAACCTGATTATTATCATCTCAAAATCAGCATTGCAGCTATGCTAGCAACATTGTGCTTTCATTATGATTTAATTTCTCGATAGATAGTTAATCAGTTTTTACCTGTTTCATCCCGTGTCTCCTCTCCCCATGACTTTCCCTCACTTTGCCCCATTCAGTTTTCAAAACAAATCAGTCTCAGTCGCTCTGGCATCATCTCGTGCTGCATTCACTGCAGTCCGAAATTGGAAATTAGCGGTCGTAATTCTCAAATTATCCATAATTTATAAGCTTTGCCACCCCTACCGCCAACTGGGGTGGCAGCAGGGGTGGCAAGTCTGTCATTTATGGTGGCATTTGCCACCCTATGCCACCCCAGTAGATCCGCCTATGCCTCTAGTCGTGGAAAGCCTGTATTGTCATATACTATAGCATTCAGCGCTGTTATATTGATTCAAGAAGATAAAGTAAAAAAACAAACAAAAAATGTTAAAGCATGTCTTTTTCCAACTTTACAATTATTTAACACTTTTTGATGAATCACAAATACACTGAAGTTTTTGATCATATCTTAAACATATAGAAAACCTCAAGATTAAAATGTTTTAACCAACATTAATTGTATTCTGTTCTTCCTATAGGGTCCATTCAAGGATTTCCTGGAGACACTTGGAAACCTCCAGAGAAAATTTTATGAGAAGGACAAACGTATAAATTGCCCGATACGAACCTTCCTGGTCACTTCTCGCGGTGCAGCGAGCTCTGGGGCTCGAGTCTTGAAGACCCTCCGAAACTGGGGCCTGGAAATTGATGAGGCCCTCTTCCTTGCTGGGGCTCCAAAGGGGCCCCTGCTGCAGAAGATCAGACCTCACATCTTCTTTGATGACCAGTTGGACCATATTGACCAGGCCAAAGAACTGGGAACCATATCTGCACATGTCCCTTATGGAATAGCACAGAAGTACCACAAAGGGAAACTCATTGAGCAGCCAGCAAAAAATGAGTAACTTGAAGTGAAACACTAAAATGTATCTCCATGGGAAGAGATTGGCTCAAAATTAGTAATATTTATATATAAAACATGCCCCTCTAAAGAAAAAGTTTGGATGTAGCGAATTTTGAAGCCTATAAAATGAGAATATAATTTCTACCAAATATTTTTAAAGCACAGTTACATAGTGGCCCATAAAGTTCTCTTTATAAAACTAAAAAGACAAAAAAAAAAAAGAAAGACTAGTTAATACTTTTATGTTTTAGTCATACCTGTTCCTTTTTATTGGGTCAGTCAGAAATGAAAACCCTTTTAAAATAAAGTTTACATCATTTTGGTTATTATTTGTATCATGTGTATTTTTGTTTGGGCTTGATCAGATGATCTCTTTCTTCTGTATGGTAAAAAAAAACAACATATTTTCTTCTTGCACCTTGCATCCTTAAAAAGCTGCTTACCTACAGGGGTGGAAATGCAGCGGCTTATATGCTGCCTTTTTGTGTTTACATTCTTGCTGTAAATCATAAACTGACACAGGGCAAAACTACATGTGAAAGTTTGCAGACAGCATATATCATGCCAAAGAACTATGTAAATGTCAGTTTACAGCTGAGTTGCACAAACTGTTACAGTAAATTGTGGAAATATGTAACTTCGAGTAACTTGGAAGTGCAGGAAGTAACTGCAGGTGGTTAAGCAGCACCAGCCCTACACTATTTGAACAGCGCACGTTACTCTGTGTAGCCCATTTCATGTATTTTATCTGGGACTGAAAAAATGAATCGTATTAATTGATTATTTCAATAATCGTCAACTAATTTAGTATGTGATTCATCATTAACTGGAGTATAGAGACTTTAAAACATACATGTAAAATTACCCTTTCCTGACAGAGCAACCCACTTAGATCAGTAAGTCAGTTTTTGTCTGTCAATATTCTCCATCCAGAACTCCTCAAGAGGAAATATTTTAGTATCACCTGGTTTATTTAGACATCACCTGAAGCACTGAAGGGCCAGCTGCTTCACCTACAAGTTGCCCTGCATCATTATTACTGGATATCTGTGTTTCCTATAATCATATAATGTATAAGTGGATTTTTAATAGTAAAGGATTAAATGTAACACAACCTTTTATCATCGTCCTATATTGCTTACTGTCTGACTGTTTAAATAGCTCCTTATGTCTATTTTCTTTTTTAGTGGCATCATCTACAAACACAACACTGAGAATGAGCGTGTATTAAAAGTGTATTAAAATATAAAATCACTTTTAACAATTATAAAAGACAATATAACACTATCTTATCTGTAATTTAATAATATCCGAAATAAACAGCCAGATTCAAGCATTATTTACCAGACATTAATGTTTGTACTAATTTACTTATAGACTGTTTAGAAATCTATGTAAGATCAAATCAATGTTAATATTCTTCCTCTGTTTGTTCTTGTCTTTATCCTATTTCTAGAAGTATAAATAGCCAATTAAATCACTATTATTATGTGGAGCCCTAATTATGCTTTTTAAACGAAAAATAGCAGATGTTTAGGAGCCATTTCTTGTTGTTATACTCCATAAGAGAAATAACAGCTGCTAATAATTATACCTGAACTTCCTCAAAGAGTCATCAAAAAATGAAAACAGTAATAGCAACTATATATCGGTAAAAAGGAAACCCTCACATTTTCTTTTTTAGTTGGCTGTGGCTAAGAATCAGAAATGTTGATGGCTTACAGCCTTTATTTGCCCATTTTTCCAACAGTCTTCAGAACTCCTGGCTGACTCAGTATATTTTGTTTTATAAAAGAAAAAAAGGTTTTTGTTTTTTAGTGTACATTATATTCATTTTTTTTCTTTATTGGGAATTGTTTTGTAGCCTAATATTAATTGTAGTAACCGCAGCATTCTAGTGTGAATAAATTTTTAATTTTGTGCTTCAAGCACACGCGAACTAGAAAACTGCCAATCAGAGAGAGAGAAGGCAGAACTTAAGGCAGAACAACCAATGAGAGTCGAGTTAAACAGCGCATCACAGTTCCATGCACTGCTACGTGAAAGGGGCTCTGTTCGAAAACCTAGGAGGCGTCCTTAGAAAGCCAGATTCGAAGGCTGATTACGTCATAGCGCGGCGCCGAGGTCTGGTCGGATTCCAAGCGTCCTCGTTATGTGGCCTTAAAATGCGCCCTTCTTTTTACCCAATTTGAAGGACGGGTCCGATGTATCCTCGGTATCCTTGGATATCCCATGATTCATTGCGAGACCAAGCAAGCCATGGCTCTGTTCGAAAACCTAGGACGCATCCTTAGAAGACCGGATTCGAAGGCCGATTACGTCATAGCGCGGCGCCGAGGTCTGGTCGGATTTCAAGAGTCCTCGTTATGCGGCCTTAAAATGCGTCCTTCTTTTTGCCCGATTTGAAGGACGGGTCTGATGTATCCTCGGTATTCTTGGATATCCCAGGATTCATTGCGAGACCAAGCAAACTGTGATCAGAGTAAAGGTTAGTTGGCGCCGAACAGTGGTGAAAATTGGAAGTTCAGTTTAATATAATACAAGTCAGTTAATAGTTCCGTCTGAAGTTAATGAAAATAGTTGTTTTAATGGTTATTGAGTCAGATATGTGGCGGTAATGTTTGATTTATCTAAAGGTTTTTATCTGTTACTGTGTAAATGAGTTTGGCTGTAATTTAAGGACAGATTCTAATAAATCTGCAGTGTGGGGAATATAAATCTGATAGGATTTTTATCTTTTTATTGCTGTTTTGCACAATATGCTTAACTAAGTATTTTTTGTTGTTGAATATTAGAGATTTTGCAGATATATTTTTTACACATACATGGTTTAGATTTACTTATATATTTCGACTCCTTTTTTTAGAATAGAATATCCCTTTATTGTCCCACAATATTTACAGCAGCAGAAAGATTATTGAGAATGGTCACACAAATGTGGACCTTAGAAAAATGTATAAGAATTACATAGTAGGGAAGAGTTAAAGCTACAGTGTGTAACTTTTAGCGACATCTAGCGGTCAGACTGCAGACTGCAGCAACATGAACATCCTCCCCCCCCCACCGCTTCTCCCCCCCAACAGTACGGCGAGCGTTACGGGACAAAATGTCTTCCACGACGTCCGCATCACCTACCTTCTCAAGTGATGAGGTTTGTTTACATAGATAATTTTACAGATAGTATTTCATTAGTCTGTGTAGGGTATAGATTTCATGTAGACTTAAGATAATAAATATACCCATTATTTTTCCTACATCGTGATGTTTTGGCGATCTCGCAATCGCTAGTTTGTTGGCTCTCTGCCGTAGCGCAAAGATGTCTGCCTCCATGGCTGCGAGACCCGCTCCTATGTAATTATAAATAACGAATTCTAAGGCAACGCAAATATTAAGGTTAAGAGGCTGAGCTCGTAGATGATGATAAATAACATAGTTATGTATAATATATTACATTTCTGACTGTATATCCCTGTAATTATTACACACTGTAGCTTTAAAATATAAACAATAAAATACTGTAAAGTGTTTTAACAATATAAAACAGGAGAATAAATAACCAATATGCAGCTATGGACATTTTTACAGTAATGGATATTTGAAAATAGCAGCAACATCAGAGATGTGCAGAATGACAGCAGCATGTTATTTAACTGACTAAGGTTTCTATCATTACATTTGATTTTATTTGTTCCTGCTCCCGGTGGTTGGAACATTTATTCCACTCTGGATTCTTGTGAGTGTAGTCTTTGTTCACTTTACAATAAAAAATAAATAAATAAACAAACAGTTTTGAAAACTTCGGTTTTCATTCTTTTCCTGCTTTGTGTGTCAACTTTCACGGTTGCTAAGCAACAGAGCTTGCGGCGGTAAAACCCGCGGAAGGGTAGACCTGTTCGAATTTACAGCCAAAACTCTTCCGGTCTCCTTATTTTCAAAGACTTCGAAGGATACAGTCTAGGTAGACCGCGTCCTTGGAGAATGCAGCCCAGGTTTTCGAACAGAGCCATTGACAATGACAAGGAAATGCAAAGGACACAAAATATAACACAGCAACTCACATATATAACATTATATTATTTAGGTTTGTTTAAAAAAAGGAATGTTAAGGGCTATTAAGCTACATCTTAGTATAAAATATCTTCAGAGATGAAAACCAAAAACAATATTATAGAATTTGAGCAGGACTATTAAACTAATTTAAATAAATAATTTTCTTTTTTTGAATAAAAGATGTGTTAAGAATAAAAGAAGCACATTAACATTATCTGACAACAGGACATAGGCTGAGAAATCTTAAAAGCAACATTTTGCTGTTGAGTTTACCCAGAAATATTCGAATAAAACAAATTAGCATTTAAAAGAAGGGGAACCCTTCTTCAAAATCACATTTAAATCATTGAATTTAAATGAAACAAAACAAAAGTGGACAAAAATCTGTGGGGTAAAGTTGCTTTTGGAAGTAATGTATTTATTTACTAAAATAGCAAAACCAATACTTTTAGGACATTTAGAATATATGAAAATGCATTTTTTCTTTTATACTCAAAGTTTAAAGGCATGACAGTTGTGACAATAAAAAACATATTTCCACAATTTACTGTAGAAGTTTGTGCAACTCAGCTGTGAACTGACATTTGCATAGTTCTGTAGCATGATATATGCTGTCTGCAAACGTTCACATGTAGTTTTGCCCTGTGTCACCTGCACAAGTTAAAAACAAGGTAAAGAGCAAAGGCAATTACAAGAACAGAGGTTTTATGTTGTTTATGATCTACAGCAAGAATGTAAACACAAAAAGGCAGCATTGGTGTTCCTATAAGCCGCTGCATTTCCACCCTTGTAGGAAAGCAGCTTTTTAAAGATGAAAGGTGCAAGAAGGAAATATGTTTTTTTTTTTAACCATACAGAAGAAAGAGATCATCTGATCAAGCCCAAACAAAAATACGTATGATACAAATAATGACCAAAATGATGTAAACTTTATTTTAAAAGGGTTTTCATTTCTGACTGACCCAATAAAAAGGTACAGATTTGACTAAAACGTAACAGTGTTTGCTAGTCTTTCTTTTGTCTTTTGTGTTTCTTGTCTTTTCAGTTATATAAAGAGAACTTTATGGGCCACTATGGAACTGTGCTTTAAAAATATATATAGGAATTACAGTCTCATCCAAACTTTTCCTTTAGAGGGGCATGTTTTATATAAAAAAATATTACTAATGTGAAGCTAATCTCTTCCTATGGAGATAAATTTTAGTGTTTCACTTCAAGTTACTCCTTTTTTTCTGGCTGCTCAATGAGTTTCCCTTTGTGGTACTTCTGTCCTATTCCATAAGGGACATGTGCAGATATGGTTCCCAGTTCCTTGGCCCCCTCAATGTGGAACATCTGGTCGTCGAAGAAGATGTGAGGTCTTATCTTCTGCAGCAGGGGCCCCTTTGGAGCCCCAGCAAGGAAGAGGGCCTCATCAATTTCCAGGCCCCAGGTTCGGAGGGTCTTCAGGACACGAGCACCAGAGCTCGCTGCGCTGCGAGCAGTGACCAGGAAGGTTCGGATCGGGCAATTCATGCGTTCGTTCTTCTCATAAAACTTTCTCTGGAGCTTTCCAAGGGCCTCCAGAAAACACTTTAATGGACCCTGTAGGAAGAACAGAATACTTTTAATGTTTGTTAAAATATTTTCAACTTCAGGTTTTCTATATCTTTAAGATACAACCACAAAACTTCCATGTATTTGTGATTCATCAAACATTAAGAGTGGAATAATTGTAAAGTTGCTGGAAAATTTTATTTGTCTTCCTGAATCAATATAACAGATGTGAATCCTATGGGATATGTCAATACAGGCTTTCCATGACTAGAGGTATTTCTTTGCTGCAAATCATGTAAAGCTCTTGGGTGGAGAGCATTTATTAGCATCAGTTTACAAACATTGTCAAACATTTCATTGTTATTAAGTCTCTATGTTGACTTTGCTACTCAAAGAAAAGGCATCAGTCTAAACCAGGGATTTCAAAGTCAAATACACTGCGGGCCAAAAAAAACTAATTTTCTACAAGCCGAGGGCTGGACTGGTTAAATATTTATTAAAACATATTGAAATGAACATAGCCTATTGAACCAAGACCGAACACATTGTTAATTTTTTAAACAAAATATCAATAAATAATAATAAAATAGTAATAAACTTTTATTATATTGAGAAACGTATTAAGATAAATACATAAATTAAAGTGCATGCATTATTAATTATGTTTGGATTGTTTTGGTTTTTGATTTCCCCCCTTTAACAATTCAAGCAATTCAATTCAATTCAATTCAATTCAATTCAGTTTATTTATATAGCGCCAAATTCACAACACATGTCATCTCAAGGCACTTTACAGTTCAACCAGATCAAATTGATACAAAGTTTTCTATCTAAGGAAAACCAGTTGATTGCATTGACTCATTGACTCAAATACAATCCCCCACACTAAGCATGCTTGTAGCGACAGTGGAGAGGAAAAACTCCCTTTTAACAGGAAGAAACCTCCAGCAGAACCAGGCTCAGTGTGAGCGGCCATCTGCCGAGGCCGACTGGGGTTCAAGGAGACAGAAGCAGAGATACAAAAAGCAGCTGTAAAAGGCGGCCCCGTCCAGGAAACACACAGCCAGGCAGACGAGCTCCAAGGCAGCTCCCATGCCAGAGGACGAAGAAAGCACATCCACTCAGTCACGGTCAGAGAAACAGGACCACACTGGAAAACAGGCCGATCTCCAACATCTATAAACAAGGGTGTTGATAGAAGCAGCACAGCTGATGTTTCTTTCCAGGATGACGTCACAGCCAAACAGGAACAGACGAGGCAAAGCTACTCTGAGGAAAAGCAGAGAGAGCAGAAGGTTAGAGATTGAACTAACAGATTCTGCAGAATAGGAGAACAGAGAGAGAATGAAGCAGAATGATGAAATGGGGGTCCCTATGTCCTCCAAAAGTCTAAGCCTATAGCAGCATAACTATAGAGATAGCTCAGGATAACCTGAGCCACTCTAACTATAAGCTTTATCAAAAAGGAAAGTTTTAAGCCTAGCCTTAAAAGTAGACAGGGTGTCTGCCTCACGGACTAAAACTGGTAGTTGGTTCCACAGGAGAGGAGCCTGATAACTAAAAGATCTGCCTCCCATTCTACTTTTAGAAATTCTAGGAACCACTAGTAAACCTGCAGATTGAGAGCGAAGTGCTCTGTTAGGAACATAAGGAACAATCAGATCTCTGATATAAGATGGAGCTTGGCCATTTAAGGCTTTATATGTGAGAAGGAGGATTTTAAATTCTATTCTTGATTTAACAGGAAGCCAATGAAGAGAAGCCAGGACAGGCGAGATATGATCTCTCTTTTTAATTTTCATTAGAACTCTGGCTGCAGCATTTTGGATCAGCTGAAGGCTTTTAACTACAGTTTGTGGACTTCCTGATAGTAAAGAATTACAATAGTCCAGCCTTGAAGTAACAAATGCATGGACTAGTTTCTCAGCATCACCCCTGGACAGGATATTTCTAATTTTTGCAATGTTCCTCAGATGAAAGAAGGAAATTCTAGAAACCTCTTTGATGTGGGATTTAAATGACAGGTCCTGATCAAAAACAACACCAAGATTTTCAATCTTTTCATCAAGCACACTGGGCTGAAGTCGGTGGTCTACGGAGGTGGAGCGCACTAACTGCTCTCCGCAAATGAAGTGCGCAGGCGTCAGCAGAGGCTGATTGAAGCAAAAATAAAAGGAGGTTGGATGGAAGCTGATCCTGCAGGTGATAGAGATGAACACGCTGCTGAGGGGCAAGTGGGATCAACAAGCCAGGCACAGAATACCGGGTGGTGAACAGACGGCACAGACAGAGCAGAGGACCGCGCCTGTAAGTTGCGCTCCATCTCGATCAGAGAATCGTGCAGATCCCACCTGCCTCTCACTCAGCAGCCCGTCTCCATCACCTGCAGTGGTGGTTGCTCACGGAGCCATAGTGGCAATCTGGGGGAGTGGGGCTTGAAGTCAGAACCTCTGGAACCCAAGCACAATTACTTAAACCACTAGGCTGCCACTCCATCCAGCTAGTCTAGTTCATAACTGCTCGAGCAGTTAGAGTCTAGCAAGCCTGTATCAGAACATTCAGTTTGTTATAACAGCAGGAATATAAATCCACATGCACATTCTGGTATTAAATATAGAGAATATGATTCGCTGACTTTAGCCAATGCTTGAGAGAAGGAAGAAACTTTGAAAGCTGAAGCTGCAATATAGTTTTTAATTTTATCCCTAAAAAACATAAACATAAGGCTGATTTTTTCCTTCAAACTCCTGCAAAGAGAGTTTTTTTTAAGAAGACATGTAATCTCCTGTTTGTCAGGTATCATAAATAATACATGTAGGTGTTTTTTTTTTTTGTTTTTTTTTTACCTGAGCCAAGGGTTTGTCCTCATTCTTTTTCTCATGCTCAAAAAAAGAGTCCAGGCCGTGTTGCTTCACAATAATTTCTGACTCGTCTGAGAAAAGGACGGCATCACCATCAAACGCCACTCTTAGCTGAGTGTCACTCAGATTGCTCTCCTTTTCTGACATAAACATGGTAGCTGCTGCAATCCCTATATGGGGGAAAGGAAATATTTTTAAAAGAAGCACTTTCATCGGAACATTCTGTTCTTGAAATTCTGCTGCAGGCAATTGTCAACCCCAGACGTTGAACTTAAGGTTTGAAGAACCTGTTAAGCTGATTTAACCAGCAAATACAGAGACTTACAAAAGCATTCCTACACCAAGAATGTTTCCCAATTTTTGGAGGTTTTTTATATATATATATATATATATATATATATATATATATATGCACACACATTATGAACACATTATACACACGTAATGTGTGTGTATCTATATACACACACATTATGGGAAGCAATTTTTAGTTCTTCGGTTGTAATATAAAGAAAACAGCTTCTCTTACCTTCTTCTATAGCATCTATGACCTTCTTTGAATCCTTAGAAAGGTAAAGGTTTGTCATGTAGGCCTTCAGGTAACCTATAGGACTTTCCCCTCCAGTCATACAGAATCTCTCTATAGTCAAACCTGGGACAGAATAAAAAAACAGATATGCATGAAAAATAAAGGCCTAGTTATTTTGATTTTTTGCTGATGTAGTGAGGAGGTGAGACGTTGCTGAGCTGAACAATTAACAATGTTTGGTTAAGGAACGCAGCGTACCGTAGTGATTAATGCTGTTAATGAGGCGCACGCCGACTTCAGCGTGGTTGTTAGTCATCAATACGATGTCAAACAGCTCCTCACTGTCAGGGTAAAGCTCCCTCAGTCGGCTGTTGACATTCATGAGAGCCTGTAACACAGATCACACTGTTTGTACTCAATGATATTGAGACATTGTGTTCAACATGAGGGTAAAGCAGTTATTACAAAAGGGTTCCTTTACTTCCCTCTTATTTTAAATTGCACAATATATAAAACGACAACATTTTTGTGAATGTGGAATTCCATATTGTAATTACAAGGAAGGTATTTTATATTAAACAAATAGACTACGGCTATAACAATTAATCAGATTAATTGTAATTAATTGATTATCGCAATTAATAATTGTCAAATAATTTTGTTATTTAATCTAAATGTTATGTAGAGTAATGGTACAAAGAAATAAAAAAATCCAATTTGCTAAAAGAATAGCTTACTCACAGCGGTTATTAAACATCTATAAACAAAAATACACATTTTCAATAATAATATTGACCAGCTTCTTTTTTTTATATATAACATTACATAGATGTGCATGAATATTGTATATTTCCTACATGTTTTGCCATTAACAGTTCTTTTAAAATGAGCAATATATATTGATTAAAGAAGCATGGATGGATGGATGGATGGATGGATGGATGGATGGATGGATGGATGGATGGATGGATGGATGGATGGACAGACGGAGACTGTTGAAAACCAAACCTTTCTCCATTAGAACTACCAGTTGTTAAGTGGCATGTATAAAAATCATCTAACAACAGGAAAGACGTTTTGTAATACAAGAGCCAAAAATCGGAGAACTTTCTTAAGTATGTTATAAACAACAACAACGAAAAAAGATGTTCAGCTCCTTATCAGAAAAAAATATTTATCTAATGCTCAACATTTGCAAAAGAGATCAGAGTTGTTTTTTTCCATGTCACAGCCAAAACAACAAGTGACAGAAGTTACAATGTGGAACCTGCCTGTTAAAGAGGAAATACAATTAAATGAACAAATCAATAGTTTTGTACCTTTCAACGATTAACTTCATTTGTGAGAGCATCATGATTAAAAAGACAAGAGTAAAAAATCTAGATTAAGCCATCACTAACTTTCAATAAAAGTCAATAATTGAAAAATAAATGCTCCATTGATTAGTTTTAATTAGAGATATTTTAAAAGATATATATGTATGAAAAAAATACTTTTTTCATTTTCTGATTCTTTTTAAATTTCATTAAAAAATATCATTATAAACCTCAGAGCTTGTTTTAAAAAAAGGAATATTTACCACTGCTACTTAAAAGTAGTTATTATTATTAAGGACTTATTAATATCATATCTTAGACATTGGTAAATACAGAATACTGAAATATTAATAATCTAAAGGATTTTGTGGTACTTATCCGACATGCCACTTTTGAAAAATAAACATTTTTTAACTTTAAATCTAAGCTAAGCTAAGCTAAGTGGAACGTGATGATAATGTCTTGGGTCAATTTATAGTGATAAAAATGGGTTTTGTTCACTTTTAATGATTTTTTTTCTTTTTAGAAAAGAATAGTAGAAAACTTTTTGTACACACACACATCCACAAAATTGTAGCTAATGTTTTAAAATATCCACCTTTTGTCAACAAAAGAAGAAGGGGCACCAATACTGTAACCAGCCCAAACCTGGCATCCCCTTAGATGCGCCCCTGAATATTAAACTATTTATAGGACCTGCTTTTTTGTTTTGCCAGCAGCACCATGATAACTTCTTACTATCAACAGTAAGCTACAACTGGAATACATTAAACAGGCCAACGCCTGCAGCTACAGCTGCTAACCACTCCCACAGATCAGGCCTACCTTAACAAAGGGAAATGCAGGTCCAGGTTTCAAAGGCTCGTCTTCATGTTTCACCTGGAACCCAACGTACGTCTCCAGCCCGTCATCCTCGTAGATCTTCCTCTCTGTCACCATGTTGAAGAGGGTGCGAGAGGAGACGGCGATGGTTACAGCATTCTGGGGTTTGGGCTGACACAGAGAGGAAGAAAACAAACAAACATTACTGACACATAAGATATGTTGAAAAAGCCATACTGTTGAAAATACGTAATAAAAAGCTAGGTGGAAAAAAGAAAAAGAAAAACTCACCGGCCTCGGTACTTTTGTTTTCAAACTGTCAAAAAAAGCTTTAGCTGCCGCCCAGTCTTTTTCCTCGGCGCTGAGCTCAGCTGTCGCTGGTTCTTCTGGTTTGATTTCGCTCATTTTTCTCTATCAAAGTGTTTTTTGAGTCTGATTGAATAAAAAAGACCTCAATGTACAGAGACTATGCAGCAACTGCTCAACTTGACGGAAGTGTGAGTAAGGAAGCCCGATGGGCGTTTTTACAAGCAGTGACGCAAGTTGTCATGACAACACTTCACCCGGCTGGTTATTCACTGTAATTACAATCAGCAAAAAAAAACAAAAAAAAAAACAAGTTTACACCTGTTTTTTTGTTTTGTTCTTCTTCGTTACTATTATTATTTTTATTGATTTATTTTGTTTGGAATAATACTGAACTGCTGGTGTCATCAGGGCAGAGCTAGATGGGGGACCAGGGGTGGCAATGGCCACCCTTAGCCAATCATTGGCCACCCCTGTGGCCACCCCTACCATTTATTTCCCTCTAATACAGATGGTGGCAACAGTAATACTCTCAAGTGGAATATTCTAACCATTTTATTTTTTTTATATATTAACATTTACTTGACAACAAAGACATTAATTATGCACATAAATATACTGAAATTAAAGATAAGTACAGAATTCATGCTCTTTTCAGAACTAGATTTTGTGTTATATGGGTTAAAGAGAAAATGATGTGTCTCTCCGTCATCTAGGAGTCTTCAGTGAAATCATAGATGAATAATTATTTTAATAAAAAAGTATGAAATAATCAATTCATGTAGATATTAGTAGCCTACTTGTAAATATCTTTTTATTTATTTATTTATTTATTTATTTTTTTTTTTTGCAGAATGATTATTGATAAAAGTAAGTAATGACACTGGAAAAGATGTTTGCCCCAGAACTTAAACCTGAAAGAACTGTATCCACTATATATGTCTTTTTGTTGGCAAAGGATGTAGGAAAGATTAGTTTGTCTTCATTTAGAAAATATGGATGTTTTGCTCTTTAATTTTCCTGAGGTTCTGGTGCCTATCCACCCTTGGCCACCCATCAGTGTACATTTGTTATTGCCTGGCCACCCTTATAAAAATTTTCTGGCTAGGCCTCTGGGTGTCATTAGAAGTAGAGCAATCTCTACTACCTAACCCTAACCACCTAAGGGATTGCACAAAAATGAAGGAAAAAAAAAAACATTAATTCATAAACTGATAGAAAACTATGATGTGAACCTCTACCAAAAGATAATAATAATTAAGACAGATTTCAAGGTGAAAATAGTTTGCAATGACAATAATTGTCCTTTTTAATGTTAAAATGTGGAAAAACAGAAAAAAAACAACAACTATTCACTCACTGGGTGTGCACTTTAGCTGGTTGAGTGGAGAACAGTCTGTTTATCTGTCTGACCTCTATCTCCTTTTGTGTACCACTCCAGTCAGGCAGCTAAGGCTTGGACTTTAATTTGGCTGTTTCCAGGGCACCTGTCTGTATTTCTGGGGTATTCCTTTATCAAATGCTCCCTCTGTAGATCTGACAGGGGCTTACTTATCTCTGTTTTCCAAAGATCATATCCGACAGGTTCGTGAACAAGGTTGTAAAGTACTGTAAACCAGGGTTAGTTTAATACCATACCACAAAATTATGATATTTTGTAAAACTGAGCAGTCCACTTGTCCTTAAACATATATTGCAAGAAAAAGTAATCTACCTAATGTAAAGGCTATGGAATTAGAGCGATAATTAGAGATAGACAGCTCAGCTGGCAGAATCTGTTGGGACCCTAACTTTTTGTTAACACTCCATGACCTTGATGGAGTTAGGTCAGGATGAAAACCTTGATTGTAGTCTGCTACAAGTCATTTAGTGCTCGTTTCCAAAACAGGGGTCAGGACCCTCAGGGGTGACCAAGTGTGGTCACGAGATGAATTGCACAACCATTGTGGGATCCCTGAGGTATATGGAGGGCCAAAATATATTAGGATATACAAAAGGTGAGCATCCCATGACATAAATAAGTACACTATAAAATAAGTAGATATAACATTCCTTTGTTTTCTTTCTTCTCTTGTACATGATTTAAAAAAAAATGTATATAGCATTAAATTATATGATTACATGTCCCATGAAATAATTAAAAGTAAATTCCATCTCAAATTAAAAATAAAAAACATAAGTATGTTGCCTGAAAGTTAGTCAGGAATTAAAATAAATACAAAATAAAATCCTATAATAAATCTGTATTTATAAAACTCGAGCTCCTCCGAGTAACTCCCTTATAATCACATTTAAACTTGATGAATTGGGAACAAAATGCAGAACAAAATTTATAGTCAGACTGACTTAATTAGTTTTACTTGGTTTTCCTCAAGACACATGAGTTGCTTTGATGAGCTCTGATAACTCAGTGTGAGAAACAGGTGATCGATCCTAAGCTGTCCTCTACATCCAGTCTGTTCCTCTGCTTGGTTGTGATGTGTGTCACAGCTGGAGCTGAACTCAAACCTATAAGAATAACTCAATTCTTGGTTGAAAAAAGCTTGTTTTATTTTTTTTAATTGGGTCCTCACAAAGCAAAACAGATCACAGCCCCATTTTATTTGGCAATGCACACACAGAACACCAGTGGTTAGAGTACCCCGGTTTGGGAAACACTGATCTAGGGGACAAAGGTACGCCTTCTTGTTAGATGAGCTCAGAATTTTACTTTTTCATCAAGGTCCAAAATATATGTTTTGGCTGAAAACTAAAACCTCAGATAACGCTGAACAAACTATCCATAATCCATAACACAAGATATTCCAACTAACAATTTTCTTTTCTTTCACATATGGACCAAGACTTCTGTTTTATTTTTTCTGTGTCTGCTCAAAGCCCCCATCATTTGTGCCAGAGGGCTGTTCACAATGAGCCTATTTCTGCAGGTTTCCTTCTCTTAAAACAGTTTTCCTGCAAAGTTAGCATCACAATGAAAGCAACTCTCCACTGTCACTATAGACTCACCAAGGAGGAGTCACTTCTGCCAATCAATGACTCAATTCAATCTGCTGAGTTCCTTTTGATTGAAAACATTTCAAAAACTCTGTATGCTTTCATTGGGTTGACTATAAATTGCCTTGAGATTATATGTGTTGTAAATAGTATATAGACAAACTGATTAAATGGTTTGATTAGATTTTTAGGATGGAGCTATATTGAAGGGACTGTTGTTTGTATTACTAGCAGATCAAAATGGGATACAAACAACTTTATTTTAATGTATACAAATTAGATTTCAAAGCCAGTTTGGGAGGCAGCATGTATCTGTAAGCGATAAAAAAAAAAAAAACATTTTGAAGGGTGATAGTGTCATGGTCCTGGTCTGATTGTTCCTGTTTTCCTTAGTTATCCATTTGTTGTCCTCTGCTGCCCTCTTGTGTCCTCCCTTCCTGTTTCTCTGTCCTGCCAAGCACCTGTTGCCAATTTCCTCGTCAGCTCTCTCTCTGTCTCTGTCCCCTTTAAAAGCCCTCCCTGTTCAGTTCCTGTTTGCTAGATCATCGTCAAACATCCCGTCTAACTTCTGTCTGTGTTCCTCGTCTCTCCCTGGCTTCTGGTTTGGTTAATCCCTGATGTCTCCTTGGTTCTGGTACGTTTGTAATTTTCAGTTGGACTCTGATTCCTGCTTCTGGACCTGTGAACCTGAATAAACAGTCTTAATTCACCTCTGCCTACTGGTCTCTGTGTCTGGGTCCTCCACACAAACAGTGATTCATGACAGATAGTAGATGAGGGAGAGCCGCTGTAGCATCCTTAATTTTAGACTCTAAATGTACAAAGTCCTAAGAGATGATCTGCAAAGAGCCGGATGTTAAAAAAGAATGTGGACTACATCTGGACAAGTTTTTATTTGTTCATAAAGTCAAGTTTCTTAAACTTTTTTTTTTTTATAACTACAGCAATGGTGTAACGACACAACAATAGGCCCGTAAGCGACATTATCTGGGTGGGCCCCATATGAAGTACAACACCCCGCTTAAGTACCTAATTTTGGTATTCATCGTCGCTAACATATTGTATGTAATTGTTGAGATCTGGAGGCTTGTTCACTTTCTCCACCAGAGGGCGCCTGAGTTCTTCCTCCTGAGGGCATGAGCTCACTTTCACACACCTGTTTCCTGTCTCCTCATCAAGAAGACCTATTTAAAGGGATAGTTCGGTATTTTTGACATGAATCTGTATGGCATCCCCATCACCAGCGGCATGCAATCACACTGACTTACCCCTGGCAGCGTCCTGTGAGCAGAGTTATCGTCCAGTTTTGGTCAAGCCGAAAGTAGTCCGACAGGTTTTTAGAGCCAGCGAAATAAAACGTTTCTCTTCCCAAAACATTATGTGTTCAAAAGAGCGATATTTTTGCATCCCAAAAACATTGTAGTGGAAAAAGTCCCACGTCGTTATCAATTGGTCCTATTTTCTCTCTGTTCGTATCAGTGCGCGCCGTCATTCAGACAGCGAGCCCAACAACAGCCATGTCTCCCTCCGCCGCGGAAGGAGACATGGCTGTTGTTGGGCTCGCTGTCTGGATGACGGCGCGCACTGATACGAACAGAGAGAAAATAGGACCAATTGATAACGACGTGGGACTTTTTCCACTACAATGTTTTTGGGATGCGAAAATATCACTCTTTTGAACACATAATGTTTTGGGAAGAGAAAAGTTTTATTTCGCTGTTCCTAAAAACCTGCAGGACTACGTTCGGCTTGACCAAAACTGGACGATAACTCTGCTCACAGGACGCTGCCAGGGGTAAGTCAGTGTGATTGCATGCCGCTGGTGATGGGGATGCCATACAGATTCATGTCAAAAATACCGAACTATCGCTTTAAGGAGGAGGAGGCTGACACTTCCCTGCCAGAGTGTTTGCCAGTAATGGTTAGCAAAACCTGAGCCAGCCTGCCTGATCTGTAACCCTGATTTTGAGAACCTGTCTGATCTAGTTTCTCTCTGCCTCACAGATCCTGATTTTTCTGGAAACCTGGAGAAAGTATCTCGGTCTGGAATCTGCCTGCCTGCACTCTGTCTCAGTCTCTGCCTCAGCACTCAGCCCTTTGCCTGCCGACTAGCCTCTGGACTCACAAGGTTCCCCCCCTGCTGATCAGTATCCTCTCTGAGCAGGTGTTAATTCTCGTCGTCTGAAATCTGCATGTTTCCTGGATC